ATCAATCGATTATTAATGATCTGGATATGATCGTGAAGTCGTGAATTTATCAAAATTTAGTTGTTAACATCATATCATTTAGTAAAAAGCCCATCAGGCAATTGTTTCAAAGAAATTTTGAAAAATTATGAATTTGGTCATAAATAGGGAGAGATCGGAACGCGATCGTCAAATTAAGATTTTAGCCTTACAAAAAGTTATTTACATTTAGTTGGCAAACTAATTTCATTAAGTTGTAAACCGATCATGCAATCGATTAGAACAAATTTTGCAATTATTGGAATTTTTTTAAGAATCTTGTAAAAATTTTTAAAACATTAGATTATTAATGATCAGGATCTGATCGTAAAATTCCGATCAAGGAATTGTTTCAACGAGAATCAAATTTTTTTTGATCGTAAATAGTGAGATATCGCAACGTGATCGTCAAATTAAGATATTAGCCTTATAGGAAGTTATTTGTATTAAGTTGGCAAATTAATACCGATCGTGCTATATCTAAGCAGTTTTCATCGAATTTTGGCCTTTTTCTTCCAAAATCTTGATACTTCTAAATAATATAACCTTTTAAAATATTCCATAATAACTTATGAAATACCTATATTAAACTTACTTTCTTTTATAAAATTCCTCCTCATAAATTGATCTTTCAGAAATACTGAAAACAATTAACTCTTTTTCTTTCCCCAATATCTGTCGTAAACATATAAAACTTAAATACAAATGTTTTTATTCTCTCAAGACATCATTCATTCTCCATTTCAATCGCATTACAACTTATTGTATGAAATTTTAAACGAAAATATAAACGTATAAAATAAATCACAAGTGTATCCTCCTGAGAATTGCAAATGAACTCAAACAAAAATGTTTTAAAATGACAATCTAACAAGACAGGTCGGCACAGCAGTAGGCACTGTGTTTTGTTTGTTTTTTTTTTTTTTTTTATTGTTCACTACTTGCAACATGTTAACATTTTCAAAACTTGATGGCCATAGAAATTGAGATTATACGTGTGTTAGCAAATAGAAAAAAGTAGAAAAAATTGGAAAAAAAAGCTCAAAATGTTTACCACCAAGATGATGATGGTGATGGTGATGATGATGAAGTGGAGACGAAGTGATGGTAATAATGTAACAGCGTGTGTCACTGATGACAGTTATGATTGTGGCAATGAGATTGTCGTTTGTAAATTGTTTAAAACAACAAAGTGTTATTGTCTATTGAACATTATTTCGTTTATGGTTTTTTTCTTTCTTATGATGGACATTTAAAGAAAAGTGTTCAAATTAAAGAAGAAAAAAAAACACCACACACATACTAATAAATATCATTAGATCTGTGGTTACAAGTGTTATACGTTTAAGATCACTTAAAAAAATTTAGCTCTAATAGTTTCACAGATCTACGAATTTTTATATTCAATCCATATGGAAGATACCAAGACCCCCTTATGAAAGTCCGACCATTTTTTTCCTAAATATGCACGTGGATGTTCAAGAACTTTGTGCCAAATTTTAAGATTCTATCTCCAATATTTTCTCAGATAAACGAACTTTAATATTTAAATCATATGGGAAAGGCACTGTAACAATTTCAGAAAAATCGGTCCAGCCGTTTAGCTATCTATAAAGTCCAAACATACTAACACACATTAATTTTTATTGATATATAGATATTTTCCCAACAAATATATTGTTTTCGAGTTGTGTGCCTCTGGTACTTTATTAGTTAGTGTTCAGTCCTGTCAGACCGCAGTTTGGGGATTCGGTTAACACCAGAGACATAGGTAAAGGAGCGTACAGCATGCCAGATGAAGGCCTAGGTGTATTTCTTCGTATTTGATCTATCTATCTATCTATCTATCTATCTATCTATCTATCTATCTATCTATCTATCTATCTATCTATCTATCTATCTATCTATCTATCTATCTATCTATCTATCTATCTATCTATCTATCTATCTATCTATCTATCTATCTATCTATCTATCTATCTATCTATCTATCTATCTATCTATCTATCTATCTATCTATCTATCTATCTATCTATCTATCTATCTATCTATCTATCTATCTATCTATCTATCTATCTATCTATCTATCTATCTATCTATCTATCTATCTATCTATCTATCTATCTATCTATCTATCTATCTATCTATCTATCTATCTATCTATCTATCTATCTATCTATCTATCTATCTATCTATCTATCTATCTATCTATCTATCTATCTATCTATCTATCTATCTATCTATCTATCTATCTATCTATCTATCTATCTATCTATCTATCTATCTATCTATCTATCTATCTATCTATCTATCTATCTATCTATCTATCTATCTATCTATCTATCTATCTATCTATCTATCTATCTATCTATCTATCTATCTATCTATCTATCTATCTATCTATCTATCTATCTATCTATCTATCTATCTATCTATCTATCTATCTATCTATCTATCTATCTATCTATCTATCTATCTATCTATCTATCTATCTATCTATCTATCTATCTATCTATCTATCTATCTATCTATCTATCTATCTATCTATCTATCTATCTATCTATCTATCTATCTATCTATCTATCTATCTATCTATCTATCTATCTATCTATCTATCTATCTATCTATCTATCTATCTATCTATCTATCTATCTATCTATCTATCTATCTATCTATCTATCTATCTATCTATCTATCTATCTATCTATCTATCTATCTATCTATCTATCTATCTATCTATCTATCTATCTATCTATCTATCTATCTATCTATCTATCTATCTATCTATCTATCTATCTATCTATCTATCTATCTATCTATCTATCTATCTATCTATCTATCTATCTATCTATCTATCTATCTATCTATCTATCTATCTATCTATCTATCTATCTATCTATCTATCTATCTATCTATCTATCTATCTATCTATCTATCTATCTATCTATCTAATCTATCTATCTATCTATCTATCTATCTATCTATCTATCTATCTATCTATCTATCTATCTATCTATTCTATCTATCTATCTATCTATCTATCTATCTATCTATCTATCTATCTATCTATCTATCTATCTATCTATCTATCTATCTATCTATCTATCTATCTATCTATCTATCTATCTATCTATCTATCTATCTATCTATCTATCTATCTATCTATCTATCTATCTATCTATCTATCTATCTATCTATCTATCTATCTATCTATCTATCTACTATCTATCTATCTATCTATCTATCTATCTATCTATCTATCTATCTATCTATCTATCTATCTATCTATCTATCTATCTATCTATCTATCTATCTAATCTATCTATCTATCTATCTATCTATCTATCTTCTATCTATCTATCTATCTATCTATCTATCTATCTATCTATCTATCTATCTATCTATCTATCTATCTATCTATCTATCTATCTATCTATCTATCTATCTATCTATCTATCTATCTATCTATCTATCTATCTATCTATCTATCTATCTATCTATCTATCTATCTATCTATCTATCTATCTATCTATCTATCTATCTATCTATCTATCTATCTATCTATCTATCTATCTATCTATCTATCTATCTATCTATCTATCTATCTATCTATCTATCTATCTATCTATCTATCTATCTATCTATCTATCTATCTATCTATCTATCTATCTATCTATCTGTCTATCTATCTATCTATCTATCTATCTATCTATCTATCTATCTATCTATCTATCTATCTATCTATCTATCTGTCTATCTATCTATCTATCTATCTATCTATCTATTTGTCTGTCTGTCTGTCTGTCTGTCTGTCTATCTATAATTTTCGAGTTACTCTATTTGTGCTTATAATCACAGTTATATTTACAGTAAATAGACAGTTTTTTTTTCTGAAAAAACACACATAAGATGAAATCCTTGCATAATTGCAGAAACAATAAAACTACTTTCTACTACTTTTGATTTCAAAATCAAATATAAATTTTAAAACAAAAATAAAACTATTTCTCTAATAGGATTTGTTTTGATTGCATTAAAATTTCAAATGTTTTGTTAATATCTCTATGTATTTTTATTTTACATTATTACTAGAAAATAATTTACAATTATCATTAAAATTTCATCATAAATATGATTAAATTATAAATTTGCAAGTAGAGCTACATATAATGATTGAGTTTGTTATGGGTTAGTGTGAGATTATAATGCGATCGTGAAATTAAGGCTTTAACCTTACGAAAAGTTACCAACATTAACCCCCATTATCTCAATGTCTGGTTATATTTTATCCTAAGGTTAAATTGACAGTTTTCATACAAGGTAAGTTGGCAAACTAATATCATTTTGCTGAATTAATGCGATCTTTGTAGTCTAAATCAAAACATGTGATCCGATTGAAAAATTTTGATTTCGGAACGTGAAGTTTTTCAATATTTAGTTGGCAATATAATAATCCTTTTCTTAACAACCGATCATGCAATAGATTCAAAGAAATATGTCGGTTTCTTGTATTGAATCAAAACATTAAGTAGTGAAAAATTTAGAACATTTTACACTTTCAAAGATTTAAGATTAAGTTTATAAAATATTTTCTTAAATATAAAAAAAACTCACTAAATCGGTTGAACCTGAAAAAATTCCCACTTTCCCAGTCAATGTCAATCAATGTGACATGTCTAGCGAGTTTATGGCGGCTTAATTGTTTTTGATTTGTTTTTAACAACAATAAAAATTGCAATCATTTTTACGATATTATTTATATTTTTTGCTCTCCATTTAAATCACTCATAATAATTGTAATATTATTTTTTTTATTTATGACTCTGTTTTTCTGGATGATGATTTTTGGTTTTCTTTTTGTGACCAATAATGGTTATTTAATTTTTTAAGACAATTTTTTTCATTCAGTCTCTATATCTAACTATGTTTGCATCTACTAGTATGGAGTATGACTATGAAAACTTATGGCATCGTCATCATACCTGTTACATCTTGTTGTTTTTGTTGTACTGCTGCTGTTGTTGTTGGTCCATTGCTCTCTACTGCTACTACTTCTTGTTGTTGTTGTTGTTGCTGCAGTTGTAAAGTTGATTGCAATTGCTGCTGCTGTTGTTGTTGTTGTTGTGGCGTCTGCGATTGTGTGGCCTGGGCATAATGTATCCATGTGTTGCCGCTACTAAATGCAACCAATATGAGACATAAAAACCACAACCATTGTATCGTAACAAAATTCAATTTGTTGCGATCGGTAATCATTGCTGTCAGGGGATCTGTAAATATACAAATTGACAAAATTGTTACATTTAAAATATTTTTTTTTTCTTTGTATTTTTCTTTTGGACAATATTAACCAAAAGTGGCTTAATACAATTGTTTTTTTTTTTGGTTAATTTGTTTTAATAAATTAAATTAGATAATTTGATATGTAATTATTTTACTTAGGGTAATAAGGTCAAAAAGCTTTGAACTTGTAATTATTATTAGAGAATCCTCTTGGGTTATTATTATTAGTAAAAAGATTAAGCTATTGGAGAAATCATGCTAAAAATTGCTACTGGAAACTGTTTAAATGCAGTTATAAAATATCTCTAATAACACAATGCGACTATCTGAATTTGGCCTCAGAATTTCTTCATCACATCATGTTTTCCAGACATCATGTCGTTATAATTGAAACAACCCTTTTTTAGGCCATATTTGAGACTTTATAATAGCGCCAGTTCTGTTCTAGTTCTGTTCTGTTCTAGTTCTGTTCTAGTTCTGTTCTAGTTCTGTTCTAGTTCTGTTCTAGTTCTGTTCTAGTTCTGTTCTAGTTCTGTTCTAGTTCTGTTCTAGTTCTGTTCTAGTTCTGTTCTAGTTCTGTTCTAGTTCTGTTCTAGTTCTGTTCTAGTTCTGTTCTAGTTCTGTTCTAGTTCTGTTCTAGTTCTGTTCTAGTTCTGTTCTAGTTCTGTTCTAGTTCTGTTCTAGTTCTGTTCTAGTTCTGTTCTAGTTCTGTTCTAGTTCTGTTCTAGTTCTGTTCTAGTTCTGTTCTAGTTCTGTTCTAGTTCTGTTCTAGTTCTGTTCTAGTTCTGTTCTAGTTCTGTTCTAGTTCTGTTCTAGTTCTGTTCTAGTTCTGTTCTAGTTCTGTTCTAGTTCTGTTCTAGTTCTGTTCTAGTTCTGTTCTAGTTCTGTTCTAGTTCTGTTCTAGTTCTGTTCTAGTTCTAGTTCTGTTCTAGTTCTGTTCTAGTTCTGTTCTAGTTCTGTTCTAGTTCTGTTCTAGTTCTGTTCTAGTTCTGTTCTAGTTCTGTTCTAGTCTGTTCTAGTTCTGTTCTAGTTCTAGTTCTGTTCTAGTTCTGTTCTAGTTCTGTTCTAGTTCTGTTCTAGTTCTGTTCTAGTTCTGTTCTAGTTCTGTTCTAGTTCTGTTCTAGTTCTGTTCTAGTTCTGTTCTAGTTCTAGTTCTGTTCTAGTTCTGTTCTAGTTCTGTTCTAGTTCTGTTCTAGTTCTGTTCTAGTTCTGTTCTAGTTCTGTTCTAGTTCTGTTCTAGTTCTGTTCTAGTTCTGTTCTAGTTCTGTTCTAGTTCTGTTCTAGTTCTGTTCTAGTTCTGTTCTAGTTCTGTTCTAGTTCTGTTCTAGTTCTGTTCTAGTTCTGTTCCAGTTCTGTTCTAGTTCTGTTCTAGTTCTGTTCTAGTTCTGTTCTAATTCTGTTCTAGTTCTGTTCTACTAGAACATAACTAGTTCTGTTCTAGTTATGTTCTAGTTCTGTTCTAGTTCTGTTCTAGTTTTGTTCTAGTTCTGTTCTAGTTCTGTTCTAGTTCTGTTCTAGTTCTGTTCTAGTTCTGTTCTAGTTCTGTTCTAGTTCTGTTCTAGTTCTGTTCTAGTTCTGTTCTAGTTCTGCTCTAGTTCCGTTCTAATTATGTTCTAATTCTGTTCTAGTTCTGTTCTAGTTCTGTTCTAGTTCTGTTCTAGTTATGTTCTAGTTCTGTTCTAGTTTTGTTCTAGTTCTGTTCTAGTTCTATTCTAGTTCTGTTCTAATTCTGTTCTAGTTCTGTTTAAGATTTATATTTTCAAAAGAGAACAAGTACTTTCTTGCACTACCACTGGGTCTTGATGGCTTAGTATGGATATGCTCAGATCATCTTGTCTTATAGGCCTACAAAGGCCTCAATTGAGTACCTTGATTTCATTTATTACTGGTAACTGTGGAAATCATTTTAGATGTATATTTTGAAAGACCACAAAGAAATGTGGACCCTATGGGTAAAATTAAAAAAACTTTTGATAAGTTTACCAATATCGGGAATAATTTGACCTATATTGCGACATTTAATTAAAAAAAAGCACCTAACTATCAGTATGAGAATTTCTGGTCAATATCCACTCCAATCTAATTTTTTATTTATCAATATCAAATTCTTTATTTCAATAACCTAGCCTATATAGGCCATAATCGGTTATAAATTTCTACTTATGAAAATTTTATTGGTACGTTTTGAATAAAATAAATTTTTTTTTTTGTGACATGACAGGACCAACCAGCCAGTCATGACAACTTCATTAAAAATTTATTACATTATCATACGACCAACCAACGAAACAGAAAAGATGCTGCAATGCATCTCGAGAAATATACATATTTCATTTTCTTGAAATGTTAAATTCAAAATCAAATATACAGACATACAAAACTTTAAATAATTTTAAACATCATAAAAGCAAGAAAGTTAAAACGGTCAAATTCGCCTTTTGGGAACCCTCTAACTATGAAAATAATTTTCTTTAGTAATGCCTGACTGCACGAATCATATAATAAAATTCTTTACATATTTTTTGTTTTTTAATTTATTTCGGCACCTACATTTCTTTCGATTCTGGAGTGTTAAGCCGATATTTGGTAGTGGGCCTGCTGTGGTAGCTATAAGCAATTATGAGCTGATCCACACCTTAAACATTCAACATCTTCAAAATTGCGATCCAAAATTTGATTTTAGGGTTTAAATAGGTGTCTCGACGGACAGATAAATCCACTCAGAAAAATATGAACCGATATTGTAGAACTAATATTTCTATTAGTTACAAACATCAGCAAAACTCATAATTTCCTTTCCACTATAGTGGTGTAGCGCATAAAAATATGATAAACGAAAGAATGGTTGGTCGGTTGGTCAGTAACTGAGCATGTATTTCCTTACCATGGGATAATAGTGGTGCTAGTGGTTGGCGGCGGTGTAAGTTAAGTCTTTAACTTACACACATTTTGAGTTAAACCCCTCTTAAAAATAAAGTTAAACAAAGGAAGAAATGATATAAATCGTACGATATCATTTATAAAATCATTGAGGCGTTTATATACAATTTGCACTGTGTGGTCATGTAAGTTTCTGGAGGAAGACAATCAGAAAAGATGCAACATGTAGTTGAGCTTACTCGTACAACTTAATGTGCGTGCATGTAGTATGATTATTGGCTTAAAGGGTTTTCAAGTTGTTGTTGTTGCTGGTAGTGGTGCACTGTTGCCAATTTAGCTATTTTCTCGTCAAATCTAGCGATTTTTAATCCCATTTTGCGGGGAAAAATATGATTTAGCTATTAGCGGGAAATCTAGCGATTTTTCTTTAGATTTTAAGGCATTTTTTATTCATTTATATTTTGATAATATCGCTTAAAAGTTGCTACGAATGACGATTTACATATATGTATGTATATAAAAATATGCATTCAATGTAAATTATTTCAGTTTTAGCTGTGTGTATTATACTTATTTTGAATGTTCTGAAGAACATAATTAGGAGCAAATATTTGTGCGTACAGGTAAAGTTATACGAAAAACTTTAAAAGGGGTATATTTTGTTGTACTCAAAAAACGAATATTTAATTATTCTAGTCTTTTAGTAAATGAGTGATATGATAATAAAATTTACCATAATTCTAAAAATTAGTGAACATTGGAAATAAGTGACGAAAGGATCGATCCATGAAGTCCTAAAAATTTACAACATTTCTAAGGCGTATAGGGCCGCATATCGATATTGCAGATAAAATTCCCACAAAAGGAGTGTATAATAATAATCTTGGGTGCCCCGGTAGGCTAGTTGGTAGTGTGCTAGCCTGTCAGTCTGAGGGTTGTGGGTTCGATTCCCAGCAGAGATCCTGGTCTGCTACACTACAACGGTCGTATGGTTATCGTCACCCTGCTCGGTAAATTAGGTAAGAATATAATTTGTAATTGTATTGTAATGGAATAATAAATAATACTCTCGATCCATAAAGGCCAGCAATTCGAAATTCAATTTATCTTTACAACATTTCTAAAGCAATCTGTATAGGGTCGCATATCGAAATTAACCTCAACTTGACATTTTTCCTAACCCAAAGTGAAAATATTTAACATAAAAAAGGTTCTCTTATGTGTTTGTTATAAGATGTGTTTGTATCACTATCCCATTCCTACGTATGTATATAGATTTTAGCGATAAATCGCTGACTTTTTAGAATAATATAAAAATCTGAAAAATTTATCTAGTTTTTTTAGCTATTTGTTTTCAGAATCATATAATAAATATTATTTTGACGATTTATCGCTAAATTTTTCAAAATGTCTTGAATTTAGCTATTTTCTAGCTATTTTTCAGTCGACTTTAGCGATATTTTTGGGAAAAAAGTTGGCAACAGTGTAGTGGTGTGAGTGTGTTAAAGATACCGCCACCAAAAAGGGAACAAAATAAAGGCAATTGGGAAGACAATATCATTAAATGGCATCATTGTTGTTTTAAAATGAGAAAAAAAAAACAAAATAAAGATACCAAATTGCATGGGTGGGCTTTTTTTCAATTTTTGACAATTGTTGGGAGCCGTAGAAAGGGATCTTCTGTTTTGGCTTTTTTCTTCATCTTTTTTTCCTTTAAACATAAAATATTGTTAACATGTCCTTAGGGAGTATTACTCTCGTTACTTTGTTGTTAATAAAAGTTTCGTTTTTTTCTTAATTCTTTTAAACTCAGAGGGGTTTCCTATAACGTTATATATTTTTTCTTTCTCTAAATGAAAGTGAAATTTCTTTCTTTTTTTTTGGGTCTGGAGGTATAGTTTTTGTTATTAATAAATAAGCGGCTTCTTTTAATTTTCAGTTTTTTTTTTCATTACCTTAAAAACTCTACTCCAACATGAGAATTTGTTTTTTTTTGTTTAAATTTTAAGTTGTTGTTAAATTTTGCTTGATTTATGTTGTTTGTAAAAGAAGTCTTTTTTTTTTTTTGGTTTTCGTCTGTTGTTGACAGTTAATTTAAATTTATGTT